TAAAGGGAAATATACAAATAAAAGTGCCAGCCCCTGTTGCTTATTGAAAGAAATGACTCAATATCCCAGTTACATGTTTTATTAACATGAACAAATAAAGCCAAGAGCACACATCACTAAGGCTAAATGACTATAGACACCACTCAGCTAAGGGTTAAACAATACAGTGATAAAGTTCAGGTCAAATCAGTAAATCAATGATTTAACATGGATATTGCATTGGAATCAAGTCATCAATTTAATCAAACCATCAGATTAATACAGCAAAAAATCAACCCTTATAAATTCTAAAAGAGCAACCCAAGAAGGCAGGGGCATATTTAGTGATGCCGAAACCCCAATCAGAGATTTTTACCCAGGCAGTGCAACCCAGATTTACCCAGCTGAATATTTCAATACCAAAACTAAATTATTGCTTACATTTAGTCTACAACCTCAAAGCCAATTACAGTTTTCTCCTTAGATTTCACTATTGTGTAACTAATACTTCTCCTGTCCTCTCGCCCCAAAACACATACAGACCTTAGAAAGACATCAGTAAAAGAAGTTCAAACAGCTCTCACTGAACAATACATATCTGAGAGTTCAATTCCTTGCAATGTTTCCACAGGTGAGGAGCATGCGTTCAGTCATTTCATAGAGCAGAGTTTTAAGGCTATTAAGATTTGGGGAACTATTCTTCGGAGCATCATCCCTTTTGTAGATTTCAGAGGTGTTCACACACTCACACCCACTGAGCCACACTGTTACGTGCAATCTAATAGAAAGGCTGGGAGGTCTCCAAGTTAATAAAAAGTAACAGACACAAAACAGAAAAAGGAACAAAATGTTTCTAAGATTATAAGAAGTTGGGTCTCTGCACCTTTCGGTCTTTGGATTCACCTGGAGTAGGAACTGTAGCTGCAGTTTAGGAACCAGGTAATGGCATAGATGGTCCAGCACTTTGGGCTAGCAGCCTTTTCAGGTACAGGGAGACTTGTGAAGGCTGCATAGCCTGTCGCTTTTGTGCTTCATTCCCCAGAGGGGATCAGTCCTGAGATCCTGGCAGTCAGTCTCTCTGAGGCTATGTCTACACTGGCAGAGCTACAGCACTGGGAGTTACAGTGCCGCTCAGAGAGCGCTGAAGGGAACCGCTATTGTGTGTTCACACTGTCAGCTGCCTGCACAATAGCGTGTTCACACTTGTGGCACTTACAGCGGTACTTGGAGCGGTGCACTCTGGGCAGCTATCCCACTGAGCATCACTTCCTCTTCTGCCACTAAGAGTTTTGGGAAGGTGGAGGGAGGTGTTTCCTAAGCCCAAAAGTGGCATTCCACTGTGGTCAGCACCTCCGTGAATGCCATGTTATGCATTGCTTCACATCTCAGCAATCCCTGTGCTTCCATCTGCATTTGGCACCATCATTCAATAATTTGTGTACTGCGCACTCTGCCTATTTAGTCTGTAGGAATGGGTCTGCACTTACTAAGACGTCACGAGTGGCAGTGGAGATATTACTTAAACTACAAAGACAAGAGGAGTTTGACATTGATTTTGCCATTTGTAGTAGCTACGACACGAGATTGCTTGTGGCATTAACAGAGGTGCTGACCACAGTGGAACACCACTTTTGGGCTCAGGAAACAAGCACTGAGTGGTGGGATCACATCGTGATGCACATCTGGAATGATGAGCAGTGGCTGCAGAGCTTTTGGATGAGGAAAGCCACATTCATGGGACTGTGTGATGAGCTCACCCCAGCTCTGCAACGCAAGGACACGAGAATGAGAGCTGCCCTCTCATTGGAGAAGCTCGTGGCAATTGCACTGTGGAAGCTGGCTACTCCAGATTGCTACCAATCGGTCTCTAACCAGTTCAGAGTAGGAAAGTCAACCATTGGACAAGTGTTGACAAATGTGCAGGGCCATTAATTGCACCCTGCTCTGAAAGACTGAGACTCTGGGCAACGTGTGTGACATTGTGCATGGCTTTGCACAAATCGGCTTCCCTAACTGCGGAGGGTGATAGATGGCATGTATATTCCAATTCTGGCACCTGACTACCTAGCCACCGAGTACATTAATCACAAAGGGTATTTTTCTATGGTTCTCCAGGCACTTGATGACCGTGGGCGTTTCATGGACATTAACACAGAGTGATCCAGAAATGGGCATGAGACACACATCTTTCAGAACACTGGCCTATTCAGGAAGCTGAAAGCAGGGACTTTCTTCCTGGACCAGAAGTTCACTGTAGGGGAAGTCGAAATGCCCATTGTGAAACTGGGAGACCCTGCTTACCCCTTAATTCCGTAGCTTATGAAGCCATACATAGGGCATTTTGACAGCAGCAAGGAGCGGTTCAACAACAGGCTGAGCAAGTGCAGAATGACTGTCGAGTTTGCTTTTGGCAGTTTAAAGGCCCACTGGCGCTGCCTATGTGGAAGGCTGGACCTGGCCGATGACAATATTCCTATGCTTATAGTCGTGTGCTATACACCCCATAATATTTGTGAAGGGAAGGGTGAAAGCTTCACTCAGGGCTGGACGGCTGAGGCTCAGCACCTGGAAGCTGAATTTCAACAGCCAGAGACTAGGGCTATTAGAGGGGCAGAGCGCGGTGCCATAAGGATCAGGGATGCCTTGAGGCAGCAATTTGAAGCTGAAAGCCACTAATATTTGTTGCTATGCACGGGAGTGCAGTGCTTGTAATGCTAAGAGGTGACTGTGATTGGTGCAGATGATGCATCACAAAGGTTTAAGAGAATTGCGTGTTTCTTTGCAAGGCTCTGTTTGCTTTCCATTAATGGAAAAAAGATTGCTTTCAAAGCAAAACTATTCTTTTATTAAAAAGCAACCACCAGAGGAGAGAGAGAAAAGCACATCAGCACTGTGGGGGATGGGGGAAGGGAGGGTCCCATGAGGAGGTGGGGTCCAATGATGGTTAAAGAGTTGTGTATATCCAGGTATCATATGCAACCTTATCCTTTGGAGTACACTGCAGCGGGTACTGTACTTGAGCAGGAATAAACTACAGAGGGACGGGTGTTGAGTGCACTGGGTACTGGGCGTCCACAGGGCTGGACTGTGATGGGGCAGGAGTGGAATGCAGCGGGTACAGACTGGAGCCAGGAGGTTGCTAAGAGTGTGTTGGCACTGTCTGGTGGGTGCATGGGAAAGAGTTTTGTGACAGCAGATGACGGGGAGGGCGGTCATGGAGCTGCTTGGTTTGCAGTGCTGGTAGTGCCTGGAGCATGTCTGCTTGGCACTCCATAACGTTTGAGAGCCGCTCCATGGCTTTATTCTGGCGCACCATGTTCTCCTTTCGGTCCTTGTTTTTTGGCCACAGGGTGCATCATGACCTCATGCAGAAAGTTCTCTTTAGTTCTTCATGGCCGCTTTCTAATTCTGCGCAGCCGTTCAACTGGCAGTAACAAAGAGAGAGGCTGGGATCCCAAGGTCATATCTGTGAAGCCAAAATGCAACATTTTACAGAAGCAGACCACTGATGCAGTGATTTAAAACACAGCGACTATTCACATACCTATCACTAACTGGCTAAACCCAGGCAAGGACACATGAGCCACAAGACCCCCCCAAAATGGTAACAGCAGGGGCAGGGGAAATCACTGTTCCAGGACTGTCCTGTACACTGGGCACGTGGTTCTTGGGGAGAGATGGCACTGTAGGGGGGGCTTTATAATCATTTCTGTGCCCACATTTTCCACAGGCTGTGTTCATTATGGAAGATATCTCACTGCTCAGTGTGAGCAGGGAATCAAGGGAGTGTCTTCTCCAAGACTGTGGCATCCGCCCTGGCCCTTATGTGGCTCGCCTATGTGCAGCAATGGTCCCCCCCACACCCCTCCCATGACGGCAGAGTAGTGCAGGAAAGTTACTCTTAATGGGGCACGAAACAAAGCAGCTGTGCCAAAGAAATTGCAGCAGCAGACTGCCCTGTATCTCCATGAGAGTTTCGTGGAGTTCTCTGGCGCAGATTCCCAGGAAGCAAGGGAGTCAATCAACACCCTGTTCCGCTGCTCAGACTGGGCCTGTGGTGGTACGCATATCATACAGATACAAGCCTGATTTCTGCAACCCTCCTGCCCTCAAGAACTCACTTCAGTGATTCCCAAAATCTAAGCCACTTACCAGGGACCTCCTCTCCTGTTTGCGCTTCGCCAAGCTCCGATAGCTGTGACTGGCTAGCTTCCTCCGGGGTAGAGAAGAACACCTGGCTGCATGCATCTCTGACCTCCGACTCATCCTCTGCCTCTGCGTCTCCCTCTGCCTCTACAGCCTCATCCAAGATTTCCTCCTCCTGGCTCGGTCCACTCTCGACTGGCATGTGAGCCACCGAAGTATCCACAGTGGCCTTTGCAGTGGAGGTGGGGTCATCACCGAGTATCGCATCCAGTTCTTTGTAGAACCGGGAGCTTGTGGGTGCAGCACCAGAGCGGCGGTTTGCCTCCTGCGCCATGGAGTAGGCGTTCCACAGCTCCTTCACTTGATCCTGCATTGCAGTGTGTCCCAGTCATGGCCCTTTTCTCTCATGCATCATGAAATCTGTCCATAGGTATCATAATTCCTACAGCTGGAGCACAGCTGGGAGTAGACAGCCTCCTCTCCCCAAATGCTGATGAGGTTCAGCAGCTCAGCATTGCTCCAAGCGGGGGATCACCTGGTGCGTGGAGCAGGCATGGTCACCTGGAAAGATACGCTGAGACCACTGTATGTGTCACTGGCAAACAGGAAGGGGACTTTCAAAATTTCCAAGGAATTTAAGGGGTCGGGGTCACGGTTGGTCACCTGAGGGCAGTGCAGTAGAGTTCAACCTGATGACCAGAGAGGCAAGAACAGGGATTGTGGGACACCTCCTGGAGACCAATCACAGCGCTGTAATTGACCAGTGTGTCTACACTGGCACCGCGGCGCTGTAACCCCAGCGCAGAAAGCTGTACACCTCTCGTCGGGGTGGTTTTCTTACAGCGCTGCAACTGTTCAGTTTCTGTGCACTTAGTGGCTTGGCAGTGTGTACACCTCGGGAGTTACACTGCTTTACTGTGCAGAAACTTACCAGTGTAGACAAGACCATAGATGGCTTACATAAGAACGCAATACTGGTCATACTGGGTAAGACCAATGGTCCATCTAGCCCAGCGTGCTGCCTGAGAGTGACCAGTGCCAGATGCATCAGAGGGAATGAACAGAACAGGCTTGTCGACCTGCAAGGTGAAGGGCTTTCACCCTTACCTTTAACTTTATTGTTGTTGATTCCTACTTACCCTATCTTAACACACCTCCCCCGAGGTCTCTGGACAAATCAAGTGTGAACCACTTCTTTGATACAGATGTATCCCAATCCAGCTGAATTGAGGCAGACTTTGGGCCAATGTCAGTTTGGAAAAGGCTCTCTTAACCCAGCAGGTTTCTCAAAGTATCTGTTGCTGTGAACCGCATGTAGTGTGGATGTGTGAACCCGAAAGATATCAAATATGAAAGAAACACAAGGCCAGTTTTGGGGAGGTTTCCAGAACCAGGCCTGAGGGTTAAACAGCTGTGCTCAAAAGGAAAAGGGTCCTCAGCACCTATAAAAATAACTGGTTGCAAAAGTTAAATTAAATTAAGAAACCAAACCAAATCGAAAAAACAACCCAGAAAATCTACCACCACACATCCATCACCATTTTAGATTTTGACATCTCCTGCCTGATGTGACATCTTTGCTTTGCAAACAAGAGACCTAGAGAACTCTGTGGCTGTTACCCTCTAACTGGGTAAAAGGCTACATATCTTGTCTCAAGTAATTTTCCTCTTAAGGGAAGATTTATTTTAAAATGTATCATAATAAATTCCATTTTAAATAGAAATAATTACAGTCTATACTTGGTCTCTATTCTGGTCCATGCTATTTCTCTCACATATTCTCCCACTCTAATTCCTTTGGAGTGAGGTTTTAATTTCAGGATTAGCCACCATTTCCAATGTAGTAGGAGGAGGCAGGGAGAGAACTAGAAGAAAACCTGAATTATATTGTAACACTGAAAGTTATCACATGATCAGCCTCTTCCGTTACACTAAATAACTTCATGTTTAATTTCATTGTCGCTGGTAACAACTTATTCAAAGATTACAAAATATAAACCTATAGGGCAGTTTTCTCTTGATTTTTACACTTTCTAATCTTTCAAAGTAGCAGCAGGAGAAGTGATACAAATGCATTAGACTTAATAAGCAAAACAAAGAGACCAAAGCCCAGACTCTGGACTCAGCATTCATGTATCCTGCAGTCTGAACATGGAATCTGATACATTCCCTCATTGGCTACCATTGTTTGCCCAGCATGGAAGTGCTTCTTGTCCAACAAGGCAGCCAGATTGGGACCCATAGGCATGGAATGGCTCTGAAGGAATCAGCTGTTTCTCTCTGTGCTTCATGAAACTTTGGATCCAAATGGTAAAAGACAGTTGTGCCCAATTTAATCATGGCATCCTTTAGGAGTGTGACCAATGCCACTTAACTAGGGAGCAGGGTTCTAAAAATAGTTTACCTTGGCCACAGGTCACCATAGCTTCCATCTCTGGGGTGAAACTCAACTACCAGTACATGCAATTTCTACCAGAGTTCTTGTCAAATCTTTGACCTTACTTGGAGTAATTTTACACTTCTCTGGCGTAGAATTCTTCACCTACCACACAACATATCAGTAGCAATAGTGAGGTATAACTCCCCCAAATATAGGCTTTTATTTCTTTAGGCACAGATTTAATTTAGGAACTAAATTCAGGTGTGGCTTAGAATCCCTGTAAGACACCAAATGTCAGGTATCTATTAAAAATAGGTATCTTTCTGCAGCTATATCACATTCAACCAGGATTTCATTTTCTACACATTTGCAGCATCTCCCAGGGGTAAGCTGAAGAGAAATGTCATTTCCATTTTTCCCATCTCTACCTAGATAGGGATTGCATTTCCCAAATAATAGGCAACATGCACCTGATTAGGAAGGAGATATCTTCAGGAGCGACCTCCTGCAACGCCTGGGCCACAACTGCTTTGAGAGCCAAATGCATGGGTATTTTGCTTAGCTACAAGTCATTTACTAGGAAATCCTCTTCCCAGTCCTTTAGAAAAAATATTGACCTAACCAATTGAACAACAGGGGGATTGGGATGGTGATGGGGAATAAGGGAATCCCTCTGATTTACCCGATCTTCTTCTGTTGTTACAGAGGGTGAAATGACATTTTCCCCTATCCCTGCTCTTTGTTATAGTTCAATATATTTTAAGTGAGGAAAATGGTAGTATAAATATCTGCTCTCCAGCACAACCTGAAGCAACATCAGAACAACTGGGAATGAAACAATTTGTTCCCGAAGGGGGAACTTGATGACTATCAATTGCTTTGAAATGGGGGAACAGTATAACCGTGATGCTCAGGGTTTGTTTAGACTAGGAAAAGTGATGGAGTTTAGGTCAGGTCAAGGGGAAAGCTAATGTCAAACACTGCACCTGGGCTGCATCTGCTCTACAACTATAATGGTCTTTTTACACCAAGATCACTAACTTGAGCAGCCAACGCCATGTACAGTCCTATTGAATGTAAGGCACAGGTAGTTTTTGTACCAATGTAGCTTGTTGGTATCAAACCTCGCTCTCCCACCTGGAGCTGATGAACATTCTTGGCTGGAGGGACACACACTCCTTCAACTCAAAAGGAAAGGAGTTGATAGAAAAGATCACAGGACTGACCCCAAAGAAGGGTGAGCTGCAAAAGGCAGAAGCAGGCAACTCATCTGGTGGAGCTGAGAGACCACGGTGGACATGGTGCAAAAATCACTATGTGGGAATTAGCAAATGTGATTTTTTAAAAAAAAAATTTGGCCAGCCCTAGTCAAGGGATTTATTACAGTTCTCTCTCATGTGGATTTTCTGATGTCTAATAAGGCTTGAGCTCTGATTGAAGCTTTTCCTGCATTCAGAGCATGTATAGGGTTTCTCTCCCATGTGGATTCTCCTATGTGAGATAAGATTTGAGCTGTGATTGAAGCTTTTTCCACACTCAGAGCACGTGTAGGGTGTCTCCCCTGTGTGGATTCTACGATGTGTGATAAGGTGTGAGCTCCGATTGAAGCTTTTCCCACACTCAGAGCACGTGTAGGGCTTCTCCCCTGTGTGGATTCTCTGATGTCTGATAAGGTGTGAGCTCCGACTAAAGCTTTTCCTGCACTCAGAGCATGTGTAGGGCGTCTCTCCTGTGTGGATTCTCTGATGTGTGATCAGGGCAGAGCTGTGACTGACGCTTTTCCCGCACTCAGAGCACCTGTAGGGTGTCTCTCCTGTGTGAATTCTACGATGTGTGATAAGGTTTGAGCTTTGATTGAAGCTTTTCCCGCACTCAGAGCATGTGTAGGGTGTCTCCCCTGTGTGGATTCTCTGATGTCTGAAAAGGTGTGAGCTGCAACTGAAGCTTTTCCCACACTCGGAGCATGTGTAGGGCGTCTCTCCTGTGTGGATTCTCTGATGTAAGATGAGGCCTGAACGACAAATGAAGCATTTCCCACACTCAGAGCATCCATAAGGTTTCTCACCCATGTGGATTCTCCTATGTGTGATAAGGTTTGAGCTCTGTTTGAAGCTTTTCCCACACTCTGAGCATGTGTAGGGCGTCTCTCCTGTGTGGATTCGCTGATGTGTGATAAGGGTAGAGCTGTGATTGAAACTTTTCCCACACTCAGAGCACATGTAGGGCGTCTCTCCTGTGTGGATTCTATGATGTGTGATAAGGTGTGAGCTCCGATTGAAGCATTTCCCACACTCAGAGCATGTGTAGGGCTTCTCCCCTGTGTGGATTCTACGATGTGTGATAAGGTGTGACCTCCAACTGAAGCTTTTCCCACACTCAGGGCATGTGTAGGGCGTCTCTCCTGTGTGGATTCTCTGATGTCTGATAAGGGCAGAGCTCCGATTGAAGCTTTTCCCGCACTCATGGCATATGTAGTGTGTCTCTTCCAAGTTGATTCTGTCGCGTGTAATAAGGTCTGAGTTGCTACTAAAGTTTTCCTCTGGCCTCTCCTGAGTCTCACAGGCTTTTTCTTTTTCTTGGTGTGCACAACTCCCGGAAACATTCCCTTTGGATCTTCCTGATAACGTCCCATGTGGCTTTACTTGCTCAGCACCTTCCTGACAGGATTTCTCCTCCTCATTCTCACTCACCATCCCATCACCTGATGGGAGACAGAGAGAATCCAGACATAGGTCACTCCCTGCGCCAGAAAGAAAGGAAATCTCAGAGAGAGGAATGGAAAAAGGGATGAACAAACCAAAATATGTGTGGGAGAGATCAAACCTATCAGGAGCTGATTTTCCCCAAACCCTTCCACAGAGGAGAGAGAAATTGATCAGTTTTGGTCCGCATCTCACCGGAACACTCAGGGGAAAGCGAGATCGGGGAGGGACCTGCTGCCAGTTGTGAGTCAGGATAGGTGGGAAGCCATGAGTGACCTCTGCCTAGTGATTCCACATCTGCAGGGAACAGTTCTGAACTTGGAGAGATCACAAGGTCTTTGTAGGGAATCCCAAATGTTTCCTGTATTCACGGACAGTTTTTGAGTTGGTTTAACCAATTCCCTACCTATGCAGGCAGTTCTCGGGAGCACTTCTTTCTCAGAGTCCTGGAGGTCTGGGACCCACGGCTCTTCCCCTCGTTCCAGCTGCGAGATCACATCAGGTTTGGAAATTGGAAACCCTACTCCAGGCAAAGAAAACAAGGGAGGTCAGTGGAATTTGTGGGATACTTGTCACAAAGAATATTCCATGGTTTTAACCCCACCTCATTTCTAAGCAGTAACATTCCAAGGCCATCTTCCTGGGCTCAAAGTGGCAGGAGAGTTATTATTATTATAAATCATATGCAGTACCTTAGTGCCTAAGGACCAACGAACAGTGGGTCCTCATTGTGCTAGGCAAAGTGCAAACAGAGAATAGTAGATGGGCCATGTGTCACGGAGTCCTTGGGCGATGCTCTGGAACTGCTCCCCACAAAGCCAATCAGGACTTTGGGGAGCCTCCTCTCCCTTGGGGCAGACGGTCTTCAGGGTAAGAAGCTTCCATGGCCTCACCCTCATGGGTCTGACCTTGGAGCATTCAGCATATGCCCCTCTGTGCGCTTCCCACAGCGAGACCACCCAGGCGGGGTCCTGGGGAAGCCAGAGGGCCTGCACGCACCCCCACTTCACAGTCAGACGTGACTCTTAGCCAGCCAGTAAAACAGAGGTTTATAAGATGACAGGAACATGGTCTAAAACAGAGCTTGTAGGTACAGAGAACCGGACCCCTCAGCCAGGTCCATTCTGGGGTCCCACGAGCCACACACCTCCATCTGCCCTCACTCCCCGTCCCCAGCCAGCTCCAAACCGAAACCCCCTCCAGCCCCTCCTTCTCTGCTGAGTTCCTTTCCCGGGCCAGGAGGTCACCTGACCTCTTTGTTCTCCCACACCTTTAGCATCCCCTTGCACGGGGGAAGGGCCTGGCCATTAGTTGCTAGGCGACAGAGCATAGGTCAGAAACTGAGGCACCCACACAGTATTCAGAGGAAACATTAAGAACAGTCCACTTCGTCACATCTCATTAAGTACAGTCCCACTTCGTCACATCCATGCCCTGAAGAATTTACAATCTAAATAGACAAGACAGACACAGAATGGGGGAAGGGGTAGAACCCACTGTTAGAATATAGATGTTCAGGCCTGCCTGTAAAGCCTGTACTTTAAGAAGGTAGGTGTATTTTTATCACTTTGTCTTTATACCCCTGTAACTAGCTAAGAATCAAAATCACAGTCCGCCTGTGTATGGGCCTTCTCTCACCAGGATAGTCTGAGGCCTTGTTCTTAGGCTAAGGCCTCTGGCTAAGCACTAGGGGCAGCCATAAGCTGGGAAGCGTAGGGTCACATCCTCACATCCCAAAGTCACATGAACTAGGGTGGTATTGGGCTGGTAGGAATACAATTATGTCTGGATAGTGCCCATTACCACCAGATAAAGAAACAGATCTTAAGATGGTTAAAGAAAACTTAGTTTGATAGCATCCTGTCTGGCAAGAAATCACATATCAATGGTTGTGGTTGTGAAACACTCATTTCTGTATTGTTTTATCTTTATGGCCACCACTTTTCATTGTTAATCAGTCTGGTTCTCTAGTTGTTTCTATCTGCTGTATAATTAATTTTGCTAGGTGTAAATTAATTAGGGTAGTCGGATATAATTGGTTAGAGAATTATGTTACAACATGTTAGAATTGATTAGTTAAATTTCAGCACAATGATTGGTTAAGGAATGGGGTCAAACAGGAGAGGGAAGAAAAATTGGAATAATAGAATCATAGATTCTATAAATCATAGAATATCAGGCTTGGAAGGGACCTCAGGAGGTCATCTAGTCCAACCCCCTGCTCAAAGCAGGACCAATCCCCAACTATATCATCCCAGCCAGGGCTTTGTCAAGCCTGACCTTAAAAATCTCTAAGGAAGGAGATTCCACCACCTCCCTAGGGAACCCATTCCAGTGCTTCACTACCCTCCTAGTGAAATAGTGTTTCCTAATATCCAACCTAAACCTCCCTCATTGCAACTTGAGACCATTACTCCTTGTTCTGTCATCTGCTACCACTGAGAACAGTCTAGATCCATTCTCTTCGGAACCCCCCTTTCAGGTAGTTGAAAGCACCTATCAAATCCCCCCTCATTCTTCTCTTCTGCAGACTAAATAAACCCAGTTCCCTCAGCCTCTCCTCATAAGTCATGTGTTCCAGTTCCCTAGTCATTTTTGTTGCCCTCCGCTGGACGCTTTCCAATTTATCCACATCCTTCTTGTAGTGTGGGGCCCAAAACTGGACACAGTACTCCAGATGAGGCCCCACCAATGTCGAATGTTTGTTAAGGGGGGGGAGGAAGGGAACCCGAACACAGGCAAGCCTCTGCGGCATCAGAGCTGAGAAGGGGGTCACGGGGGAAACGCTTTGCGGCATCAGAGCAGGGAAAGGAACACTGGGGAACAGACTGTATCGGCGTATAGAGATAAACCTGACTAGTGTGAAGGGCTTCGGAATACGTAATCTTATAGGTGTAAAAATTGTAAAGGCTACACTACCACCCTGTGACATCATCAACAAAGTGTCCATTTGTGCCTGGGTAGGGGCCCTGCTATGGGAGGGAGGAATGCAGCAAGGACTCAGCATCGGTGGCCAGGGTCGCTGTGCATAGAGATGGGGAGGTTATATGGGGAGAGGGGTAATGAGTGAGAGAGGGAGGTCAAGAGTTAAAATAATAATATTTGGGGGGGGGAATGTATAATGAAGTGAAACTGAACAGAAATAAAACTGGAGTGCAGGCTCTAAAGCAACAAGGCTTGGGTAGGGATTCGGGGTTAAAGGTCTAGGATCCCCCACAGCTCTAAATCCCCAAACCTCTCCTCCCTCCCACTGACCCACTCAGCCCACTTTCTGGGTGCCCTTACTCCACACTCCCCTCCCCTTCTTCCCATTACTCTCAGCCAGCACCACCTCCTGGCACCTTGGCAGCTTGTATTCTCTCCTTGCTTCTCACTACCTTATCCCTCCCTGCTGGTTCTTAGTTCTAACTCTGGACACACCCTCCCCATGTCCCGGCACCCCAGAATTATTTACTCCCCACCTTCTCCTCCCTTCCTATGGCTCTGTTCTCCCTTCACCCGTGGGGTCCTGAATAGCAATATTATACGCTCTCCTATCAAAAGACGAGCTCATCTGACTGTCACACAAGCCATGCATGAGTCGTACACCCATTTACTCAATTTAGAATTCTACAGGCGGCATATTTTCCTCTTAAAATGAGGAAAAGGCATGAAAGCTACAGTTATTAATGTAGTTATTAATGTAGCCAATAAGGATACATTAAATGCAATTTTAAAATGACTGACGGCACCAGAAAGGCACATGTCCAAAAATTATACTAGTGGGTGGGAGATAAGGCAAAAAAAGGGGGGCAAGGAAACTTGTCAAAACTTGTATTATGAATAAAGGTATAAAGTAATTATTACTCAGGTTCTTTAGAGACAGCTTCTAATAACCGAGGGGACAGGACTCCTTACCCAGAAAGACCACCGTCTCATAGTTCTCCTGCATGACATCCCTGTAGAGGGCTCTCTGAGTGAGGTCCAGCAGAGCCCCCTCTTCCCTGGTGAAATACACAGCCACCTCCTCGAAAGTCACCGGCCCCTGAAAGAGAAAGAGTCCAACACTCAGTACCTGCTGCCCTACTCACAACCCCACTATTCACGGAACAGCAGCACCAGGTAAATGGAAGCTCCGGGAGGCACATGTTAACAGAGTCGCACCCCACCTTCCTTAGAGCAGCCAGGAGGCATCAGAGGGTGGAAAGAGAGAACTTTTGTGTCTCCCAGCTGACAGACGGAGGCAGGGTCTTCACATTTATCACATACCTACTAGCCAGAGCTTGATATAGGAGATGGGGCTGTCTCTGGACCCTACTAGTGGCTCCGTGGTAGGAATCCCAACACTCTCCAAATAAAATATATGGAAGGAAGGGGAAGTCAATAGTAAAGGATAAAAGTTAGAAGGTCAGAATTGTAGAAAATTGGTAAGGGAAGCTATCAGAAATCAATGACCAATTAATGA